AGCAATGTCTACCCACCGCCTGTTGACGTAATGTCTGAGTGAGGAATTGTCTTGTCATTTATCCAAAAGTGCAGGTCTCTTCTACACCGCTGTAATTAGTGCTTCTTCCATCTTGTCTGCTCAAGTTCTGAATCAAGTGTCTATATATAATATATATATATTAGATCTATATAGATCTAGAGCCTACAAAAAAAAGAAAGAAGTGAACAACCCAAAGATTCAAAACATGTAGGTCGAGGTCAGCGTGTTTACAATTAGTTTTTAATTGTCTATACTTTCATCGCAGAATCCAAATCGGAAGTCAAAAATACAATTTAATGCAATTTCAGCTTTCTACATCCTGACTGCGGTATTTTTTTTAGAATTTCTGCCCCTAGACCTCAGAATGACAATTTACAGAGAGCAATTTTCCTGCAGCGGAAAATCCAAATGGTGAAGGGCGGATCATCAAAGAGTGGGGATTGTGATGTGACGTCAGTGCCACGCCGGGTATAGGTTAAAGAGTCAGTGCCACGCCGGGTATAGGTTAAAGAGTCAGTGCCACGCCGGGTATAGGTTAAAGAAGACTTCCGTCACATCTGTGAGTTGGGTGACGGTAACAACGTGACAACGTGACAACGTGGGGAACGTGAAGCCAGTGTGTTTGCAGCCGTACTTGTATATATATTTATTTTTTTTAAAGCACCTGGGCCTCTAATAAGAAACAACAACACTGTGTGAAAACCGTGAATACAACACAAACTTTCCAAATATCTTCTTATAAAATCGTGAATTGTGGACCGCATCAGGCAAGATTCGGAAAGATAGATCGCGAATCCTTCCATTTTTTGAAAGAATGATCCTCAACGGTAAAAAAGTACTTTAAGATTATCCTCTAAAGATTCATTCATTCAGTTTGTGTCTTGAACGTCACATGACGGAGAAAAGCTTTTTTTCCCACTTCTGTAAAATTTGTTTCGAGTGGAATTAACTATTTCTTCAGGCGACCGACAATTGTTTTGTTTGTTTGCTTGGGTAAAGAGGGCCAGGTCGGTACAATGATGGTCATTTAGTGCTGGGGAAAAGAAAGATAGACAGACAGAAACAACAGAAGGAAAAATGTAGGACCTAACAGTGGCACCCTCCAACCCCCCACACAGTCAGAAACAACAGAGGGAAAGTAAAAATGTAAGACCTACCAGTGGCGCCCTCCAACCACCCACACAGTCAGAAACAACAGAGAGAAAGGAAAAATGTAGGACCTACCAGTGGCGCCCTCCAACCACCCACACAGTCAGAAACAACAGAGGGAAAGTAAAAATGTAAGACCTACCAGTGGCGCCCTCCAACTATCCGAGCAGTCGGCATCTTCTGAGCAGATTGTGCTACAAATGTATTGGTCAGTAGAGAAACTATCACACCAGTAGGTCAGCAGAGAAACTATCACACCAGTAGGTCAGTAGAGAAACTATCACATGAGCTGCACCTAGAGCGTGCACGTTTCCTGAAGGCTGAACCATCCACACATCATTCTGAGGTCCCCAGCCAAGAACTGCGTCCAAACACTTGAGCTCATGTTCGCGGG